TAGATGACATTTTGGGCTTTAGTCAGAGGAAGTAAATGATAGTCTGTAGGCCTGCAAGATTCCAATAGAGTGAATTTTCTGATAAAAATGTGGACTAGGGTTTCAGATTGACATGATGGTTGCTTGGGAGAACTCAGTGTGCATGAGAACTTGAGATCTATTTTCCCCATTCATCTGCCTGTCAAAGAAATGTGAAAAACTTTATAGGTAATTTTTCCCTTGGTCATGTTAGTGGTAGAGTGGAGTCTCATGAAGACCTGAGAGACACAGATGACAGAAAGGCAGATAAAACAAAGTTGAAATTTATGATGCTGTCTTCAGATAATTATATTGTGAGCTATTGTATGTAGAGGTCAATAAACCCACTTCACAAATAAAAATTATTATTTAAAAAATGGTGATGTTACCTTAAAGGAGTATTTAGATTTCAGAACTGTCTCTGATTTTAAATGAATCTGACATTGTCCTTACCAATGATAATTGCGATATTCAGTGTCATACATTAAGTGTTACTAAGTAAACATCTTTGGTTGCCAATTATACCAGACTTCCGGAATTAAAATTATTTTTAATAAGAAATAAAATAATCACAGGGAAAAACATAGAGTATGATTAAAAATAATAACCACAAGGTCAACAACCCAGAAGAGGCAATTATTTTTCTTTCTTTCTTTCTTTCTTTTTTACTCTACAGTAAGGTCTCCTGTGTGGATATTATTCTATTTAGAAAATAAAACTCTTTACTACCACAAGTCATGAATTCTATCTAATTGTATCTTATGCTCCAGGGAAAGCATGGTGCTGCTTAGAAAAAAAAAAAAAAGGAAACAAACAAACAAAAAGCTAAAGGAAAAATGGGCTAAAAATTAAGTTTTTATTTCACATAATGTTTCCATAAATATTGGACTTGACTAATTGAGAATGCATTTGTCTCATCTGCTCACTATATACTTCCAACCATACATCTGTCTACTGCAGGTAAACAAAGGGTGTTAGGAACTGAGATAATGAATGAAAAGTAACATGCTAACAACATGACTTCACAATCAATCTATATCTTTATCAATATCTATATCTATACATATATAGATATCTAAATCTATAGGTACATATCTATATCAATAATTACTAAAGTAATGGAAACCTAGAGTATCCAATATTAAGAATTAGACCTATAAAGGAGTTCCTTTGAAGGGGAAGACATTAAAGGATTATGAAAACAATTTTGTTTAATATTTAAATGTGTTCCTTCTTAATTATGCATAATTTCTACCTGGATTCATGCAAAAAAAGCATTTTCACAATTTTCTATTCAATTATTTTTTGTGAGATGGAAAACAGAGATTACATTTTAAAGTGCAATTCGAGAATTTCCTTCTGAGAGTTTTATCACAATCTGTTAGTCCTACATGTTCCACACCAGTCACCTGTTTTGCCCTCTTTGTCTATTCTTATGCTCCTACATGTTGTTCAGGGTAAGGAAAATAGTTTATACTAAATTCACATAGAGAACAAAATGAAAACAGGAAAACCTAAACTAATGTTATTTTGAATAAGCCACAGCTAGTCAGAGTACCCATTTAATTGTAGTTACTCATATTTTATATGATGATTTTTCACCTTTTTTGAAGACCTCTGGTTTTATTTGTCAAGATTTAGCACAAGCAAAACATAACAATAGTTTGTCCTGAACTAGAGTAGGGTGAGTAATTTTCTGAATTGATGCCAAGCAAATTAGCATAATGATGCTTACCTAAGTTAGCAACAAAAAAATCCGCAAATGCCAGTAGCAAATGCTGATATCTTGATATTTTAAGTTAAAAGTAAGTAGTTACTATAATTTTTTATAAAAACAAAACTGAATTTAACACTTGATTCCAATCACTTCTGAAATGTCATACTTATTCAGAAATATAGTTCAAAAGAACTAACCTTGATAACTCCACAAATCTGCAAATAGCTTCGATCTCTAAAATAATCCTTTGGATCGATTCATCGATTGCAACCCAAAATGAAGTTAATTTTATTGCTCTTCTTCAATGTAATCACAGGGCAAAAGGCAAGGCTAGATTAAGAAGAGTCTCTTTAGATGTGTGTGGAAGAGAAGTGGTGTCAAAGACTAAGATGTGAGTTTTGGGGAAGTTTAGCTGAAGTGTTAGCTGCAGGGAAGTATGTAGCTCCTAGCTAAATTTGGTCTTAAGCCCTTAGCTGAAAACCCTCAATCTCTTTTGGTTGGACTAGGAGAGATGGAGCAGAGGAAAAGCAAAAACAAAAGGTTTTGAAGCCTGTGTTTCCAAAGATATGGCTGGTTAAACATGGACTTTTACAAAGAACATCACAACGGGTAAAAAAGAGGTTCCAAAGATTAAAAACTGACAGTGACTTATTTAATTGTAGTTACTCATATTTTATATGATGATTTTTCACCTTTTTTGAAGACCTCTGGTTTTATTTGTCAAGATTTAGCACAAGCAAAACATAACAATAGTTTGTCCTGAACTAGAGTAGGGTGAGTAATTTTCTGAATTGATGCCAAGCAAATTAGCATAATGATGCTTACCTAAGTTAGCAACAAAAAAATCCACAAATGCCAGTAGCAAATGCTGCTATCTTGATATTTTAAGGTAAAAGTAAGTAGTTACTATAATTTTTTATAAAAACAAAACTGAATTCAACACTTGATTCCAATCACTTCTGAAATGTCATATTTATTCAGAAATATAGTTCAAAAGAACTAACCTTGATAACTCCACAAATCTGCAAATAGCTTCGATCTCTAAAATAATCCTTTGGATCGCTTCATCGATTGCAACCCAAAATGAAGTTAATTTTATTGCTCTTCTTCAATGTAATCACAGGGCAAAAGGCAAAGCTAGGTTAAGAAGAGTCTCTTTAGATGTGTGTGGAAGAGAAGTGGTGTCAAAGACTAAGATGTGAGTTTTGGGGAAGTTTAACTGAAGTGTTAGCTGCAGGGAAGTACGTAGCTCCTAGCTAAATTTGGTCTTAAGTCCTTAGCTGAAAACCCTCAATCTCTTTTGGTTGGACTAGGAGAGATGGAGCAGAGGAAAAGCAAAAACAAAAGGTTTTGAAGCCTGTGTTTCCAAAGATATGGCTGGTTAAACATGGACTTTTACAAAGAACATCACAACGGGTAAAAAAGAGGTTCCAAAGATTAAAAACTGACAGTGACTGACTTATAATATTTATCTGTTAAATTAGCAAAGTTTAGAAGTAGTAAAGCTATTCAGTAAGGGTAAGTTACAAGCTGGAATCAAGACTGTTGGGAGAAATAACAACAAACTCGGATATGCAAATAATTCGACTCTAATGGCAAAAAGTGAAGAGGAACCAAAGAGCCTCTTCATGAGAGTGAAGGAGGAGAGTGAAAAAAGCCGCCTTAAAATTCAATATTAAAAATACTAAGATCATGGCATCTGATCCGATCACTTCATGGTAAGCAGAAGGAGAAAAAGTGAAAGCAGGGACAGATTTCCTCCTCTTGGGCTTTAAAATCACTGCATATGGTTACTGCAGTCATGAAATTAAGAAGACGATTGCTTCCTGGCAGGAAGACTATGACAAACCTAGACATTGTATTTAAAAGCAGGAGACACCACCTTGTCAACAAATGTCTGCATAGTCAAAGCTATGGCTTTTCCAGTAGTCATATACTAATGTGAGTGTTGGGCTATAAAGAAGGCTGAGTGCCTTCAGAAGAACTGATGCTCTCAAATTGTGATGCCGGAAGACTCTTGAGAGTCTCCTGGACTGCGAGAAGACCAAACCAGTCAATTCTAAAGGAAATCAACTCTGAATATTCATTGGAAGGACTATAGTTGAAGTTGGATCTCCAATACTTTGGCCACCTGATGCGAAGAGATGAAAAATACCTGATGTTGGGAAAGATTGAAGGNCCCTGATGCGAAGAGATGAAAAATACCTGATGTTGGGAAAGATTGAAGGCAAAAGTAGCAGAGGGTGGCAGAAGATGAGGTGGTTGGATGACATAATAGATTCAATGAATGTGAATTTGTGCAAACTCCAGGTAATAATGGAAGACAAAATATCCTGCCATGCTAAAGTCCAGAGGGTTGCAAGGAGTCAAACAGTGTAACTATTGAAAAACAACAATCTAGCAGAAGGAGAATATGAATACCCAATAAAATTGATTTATTCATAACAGATTCTGAAAATATCTTTAAGAATAGATTCACATGAAAATATTACTAAATTTGTACTGCTGAAAATACATATTGGGTATTTCTTTCTCACTCACACACACACCACTCAAAGACTCACAAAGCAAAGCCAGGAAAACAAACTTGAAAGGAATTTTTAATTTTAAAACTTCAAATTATCATTTCAACATGCAAATTATAGCCAGATCTATCAAGTGCTTTTTTTTTTTTTAAAGTTTACAAAGAGCATGCTAAGAGAGTTCATCTTTTCTATCTTTTTACCTACAGCTACCAAGGAGTTTATTTACATAGGAATATATTTTTAATGACAAATCCAACTTTCTATTTTCCCATCTTCAAAAGACAAAAATATTCAGATATTGGGATACTAAGGAGAGTTGGCAAACATTTTTCCTTCTTAGTATGTTTTCCTTTGACTTTATTGAAACAATCACCCTGTTGTCTCAGTCAGTGTCCAAGTGGCAGGTTTCAAGATGCCCATTTATAGCAAAGATTGCCCATTTGGGCTAGCATAGCTTTTGTTTTGTTTTCTTAACAAACAGCAATAGGGGTTAAGCTCTCTGTTTTGGGAGAAACTGTGTTTGTTCTTTTGGCTCCACTTCTTTGGCTTGACAACACTCTAGCAATAAATCAGTATTGGCAAAAACAAACAAAAAAGAACAACAAAACCCTCTTGATCATCATTTGGAAGAGGTTTACAGAAGTGATGTCTCCGACCGCTGTTGTCATGGTTTCTAAACACATTCAAACTTGCCTCTCAGCATTGCTTAAGCAATGAAACAATTTCAGAAAATGACTTACCCTCCCTTAATATAGTCAAGGAATGAAACTTCTGTTTCTACCAAGAAAGACAGCAAGGTGACCTGAAGAAAGAAAACAAAAGAAAACAAAAACAAGAGAATTATATACCAGTACTAATTGCAACCCCAACTGGACTTTTTTCTAAGTGTTAGAGAGAAAATTGTATTTCCTAGCATTTTGTAAATCAATAAAGGTTTATTTATTTATTTATTTATTTATTTAAGGTTTATTTATTCTATTTAAACTCTGCTAGGACTGATGGTTCTTACATTTAAAATTATGAGAAGAAAAGGGGCTAAAAATGAAGTAACTCCTTTCTATGACCAATTTACTTACTTTGAAGAACAACATGCAAATTATCTACAAGGACACACGGTTACTTCACTTTTTTCAGGTCTGCTTGACTTTCTAGTGTGATTTCATTAAATGAAGAATTCATAATAAAACTTCTTCCCTAGACACAATTCAACCGCTTTACAACTTGCAGGAAGCTGGGTTGCTATGTCCTATGAGGTGTTCTCTATTACAATCATTCCCATAGAAAGTTAATTTTTTATTATATACCTTTATATTAAAACCCTAATGAAAGAGTTCAGTTTTTAGTTGCTTCATTTTTTAAACTCATCTATTTGAATCCTTAATGAGTAACATAAAATTTGACTTACTGTTCCTGAATTAGTATATTTCTTCTTTTTTCCTTTCTTTTTGGGATTTATCACCTTAAAGAGCAGATAAAACAATTACAATGTTAGAATTTATACTGAAATATTTTAAAAATGTGTAGTCCAACCTGGTATCTTCACATCTTATGGATTTATTTACTTACTAATGTCTTTAGTACAACTCCTTGATAGTCTATCAGCCAAAACATCTCTGCAAAATTACTAGTGATTATCTTCCTTAAAAAAAATTTTTTTTTCAGTAATATTCTTCTCAACGTACCCATATACATCTTCCTATTGTGAGGTCTCAAATGTTAGTGATTGATTTGTAGAAAAGCTATAGATTTCTCAAATAAACAAAATATATTTAAGACACAACAGTTCTAATTTGATTATATACACTAATGACAAATCATTCAAATATTTGACTCTTTAAGGTCTCTGTGCATGCCTACTGCTGCTGCTGCTAAGTCACTTTACTCGTGTCTGACTCTTTTTGACCCCATGGAGCATAGCACTCCAGACTCCTTTGTCCATGGAATTCTCCAGGCAAGAATACTGGAGTGGGTTGCCATGCCTTCCTCCAGGGGATCTTCCCTACCCAGGGATCAAACTCACGTCTCTTATGCCTCCTGCATTGGCAGGCGGGTTCTTTACCACTAGCATCACCTGGTGGTGTTGGTGTTGGTGGTATAGTTGTTAAGTCGTGTCTAACTCTTGTGACCCCATGGACACAGGCTCCTGCCAGGCTCCTCTGTCCATGCAATTCTCCAGGCAAGAATACTGGAGTGGGTTACCATTTCCTCCTCCAGGGGATGTTCCTGACCCAGGGATCGAAACCAGGTCTCCTGCATTGCAGGCAGATTCTTTACCAACTGAGCTAGGAGGGAAGCCCCTCGTAGCATCACCTGGGAAGGCATTTAAGGGCTCTACTTATTGCTTAATAATGATAGTAATTTCCATCAGACACATAATAACGTGTAAAAGTTTGGAGTCCTGGTGGGAGTCACATGGATTCACAAACCTAGAAATAGGCTGCCCGACTGAGGTCTCAACTGCGCACTCTGAAAAGGAACCTTGGCCCAGGACCACCCTACTGAACAAAGGCACTGGAGCCAGTCTCATCCACCGAGCAGCAAACCTAACCCACACTCACCTGAGCCCCTAGTAACAAGCATATCATCAATAGATCCTACTGTATAACTAGCAATTGCTTCAATGCCAGCTCTAAACCACCACAACTGCAGTTTTGAAGGTAGCCCCATAAGCCTGGAGAACCACCAGGAGAAGGTCTTTACCTGACAAAACAAGTCTATAAACCAGCAGGCAGCATTTATTTATTTACTTATTTATTTTCATTTTAGGAATTTTATTTAGTTCTCAGTCGGGTCTTAAATGATATGATCTATGGGCTTTTCCATTGTCCCATTTAATTCTGCCTGGCTGATAATCATACCCTACAAGGTAGGCAAGATAAGAAGCCATCCATAGGGACCTATTCCTCTTTGTCTTATCTTCTTATTGGTAGTTATAGACTCTTAACAAGAATATAAGAGAAAAGGAATCTGTGTGATTTATAAGTTTTTTTTCCTACACAGCCTTTAAAAGAATAAATGTAGAAAAAGATTTTAACCATGATTGGAGTCAAAAACAACAACCCAAACACCTGATTAAATGCCAGCTTGTAGAGCTGCTAATTGTTTGAATGTGTTCCTAATGCTCCTGTTGCTTGAGTTGTTTCTGATTTTTTTCTAACATTTTGTTTTGCTTTATATTTAAAATTTTTTCTTTTTAGTTTTTATATTTTTTATTGACATATAGTTGATTTACAATGTAGTGCCATTCTCTGTTGGACAGCAAAGTGACTCAGTTTTATACATACATAAATACAATCTTTTAAAATATTCTTCTTCATTATGGTTTATCCCAGGACATTGGATATAGTTCCCTGCGCTCAACAGTAGGACCTTGTTGTGTATCTACTCTAAATGTATAGTTTGCATTTACCAACCCTAAATCCTAGTCACCCTTCCTCTTGGCAACCACAAGTCTGATTTCTGTTTGTGAGTCTGTTTCTATTTTGTAGATAGGTTCATTTGTGCCATATTTTAGATTCCACATATAAGTGGTATCACATGGTATTTGTCTTTCTCTTTCTGACTTACTTCACTTGGTGTAATAATCTCTAGTTGCATCCATGATGCTGCAAATGGCATTATTTTTGTTATGACTGAGTAGTATCCCATTGTATATTTGTAGCANTCTGCCACTCCTTCCCATTGTCCTTTTAAAATGGAAAGTAACTTACCACACTCACTGAATGATTACTATATATTAAATACTATGTCAAGACTTGGAGTTCGGTAGTGAACTGGAGGCAAAGATCCTATATATAGAGTGCATGCTAAGTGGCTTCAGTCGTGTCCAACTCTTTGCGACCCCATGGACTATAGCCCACCAGGCTCCTCTGTCCATGGGGTTCTCTGGGCAAGAATACTAGAGTGGGTTGCCATGCTCTTCTCCAGGGGATCTTCCTAACCCAGGGATCAAACCCAGGTCCCCCTCATTGCAGGCAGATTCTTTACCGTCTGAGCCATCATCTCTGTTACAGCATGTGTTCAAATTTCCTTCCTTTTGGGTTTCTCAGGTGGCACAGTGGCAAAGATTCTGCCTGCTCATGCAGGAGACACAACAGGCATGGGTTTAATCCCTGGGTTGGGAAGATACCCTGGAATAAGAAATGGCAACCCACTCTAGTTTATTGGCAGAAAATCCCATGGATAGAGGAGCTTGGTGGGCTACAGTCCATGGGGGTCGTAAAGAATTGGACAGTACTAAGCGACTGAATACACATAATACACATAGATATTTTTTATTCCATGTTTATTTTGGGGTTATCTAGTCTAGTTTTATCAAAATATAATGGGCAGTTTGATAGGGATCATATTAAATCTGCAGACTGTTTTGGGTAGTTTTAACATTTTAACTATTAATTCTTCTAATTCAAGAGCATGGGATATCTTTCCATTTCTTTGAATCTTCTTTAATTTCCTCAATTAATGTTTTATAGTTCTCAGCATATAAGTCTTTCACCTCATTGGTCAGGTTTATTTGTATGTATTTTATTTTTATGCAATTTTGAAAGTATCTATCTATATATATAGATAGATAAATAATATTACCTTTCTGTTATTACATTGTTAGTGCAAAGAAATGCAACTGATTTCTAGAAGTTAATCTCATTATTTTTTTTTAAAGCAGCAATTTCAAGTAGCATTTTATCAGTAAAAATTTTTGCTACGGTCTAATTAGTGTTAACATACAAAGCAACTGATTCTCACTGAGGCTGTTGAGATGGACATACAAATTTTAAGCCAGAAGTTGCAGATAAATCTTATTTCTCACAGAGACATAGCGGCGAAGAGTAGCTTTTTTTTTTTTTTCCAAGGGCTCCATTCCCCTCTAAGTTAAATGAAGATGGCCGAAGAATTCTATGTTAGCTATCTCTAACACCTTAAAAACTGCTATCCAATGTGTAATTTAAAATTACAGTTATAAATGGAATTTGAAACTAGGTAACATATGCAAAACTATCAAAGCCCTCCTTGAAACACTAGTTTGAAAAATGGCTGAATGAGACCATCAGTCAGGTCGTGTTCAGCTCAAAAGCCTCTGCTTCTAAGGTGGTTTTTTTCTGTCTGCAATTCAGTTGGCGGGGGTTGGGGGAGGAAGGAATAGCACCTTGAAGATTTGGACTCTTGCTATCCTTATATCAAAAGCCCTAGAAGCATGTGGAGGCTTTTAGAAGGCTTCAGGCAAATAATAAAAAGCCACTTAAGTGGACCAGAAACAGTTGGGCTGTTGAACTTGTACAAGACAGCAGTGGGTCCAAAAGCACAGCAGAGTGACATTGGCAGCTTTTTCCAGCTGCTTCCAAGATAAGGTTTTTTTTCCCCTTTTAAATTAATTAATTAATCTTAATTGGAGGATAGTTGTTTTACAATGTTGTGATGATTTTGTGCCATACATCAACATGAACTGGCCACAGGTATACATGTGTCCCCCGCATCTTGAACACCCCTCCCATCTCCCTCCCTATGCTATCCCTCTGGGTTGTCCCAAAGCACCAGCTTTGGTTACCCTGGTTCATGTATCAAACTTGCATTGGTCATCTATTTTACATATGGTAATGAACATGTCTCAGTGCTATTCTCTTAAATTACCCCACCCTTGCCTCTCCCATAGAGTCCAAAAGTCTGTTCTGTACATCTGTGTCTCCCTTGCTGCCGCATCGTAGGATCGTCTGTACCATCTTTCTAAATTCCATATATATATGTGTGTGTGTGTGTATGTGTGTGTGCGTTAATATACAGTATAGGTCTTTCTGTTTCTGACTTCACTCTGTATAACAGGTTCCAGGTTCAACCACCTCATTAGAACTGACTCAAATGCATTTCATTTTAGTGACAGTCACTCAGGTGTGTCAGACTTTTTGCAACCCCATAGACTATACAGTCCATGGAATTCTCCAGGCCAGAATACTGGAGTGGGTAGCCTTTCCCTTCTCCAGTGGATCTTCCTGACCCAGGAATCAAATAGGGTCTCCTGCATTGCAGGCAGATTCTTTACCAACTGAGCTATAAGGGAAGCCCATTCCTTTTAATAGCTGAGTAATATTCCATTATGTATATGTACCTCAACTTTCTTATCCATTCACCTGCTGATGGACATTTGGGTTGCTTCCATTTCCTAGCTAATAGTGCTTCAATCAACAATGGGGTACATGCATCTCTTTCAGTTCTGGTTTCCTTGGGGTGTATGCCCAGCAGTGGGAGAGGTGGGTAGTATGACAGTTCTATTACCAGTTTTTTAAGGGATCTCCACACTGTTCTCTATAGTGGCTGTACCAGTTTGCATTCCCACCAACAGTGTGAGAGGGTTCCCTTTTCTCCATACCCTCTCCAGCATTTATTGTTTGTAGGCTTTCTGATGATGGCCATTCTGACCAGTGTGAGATGGTACCTCATTGTGGTTTTGATTTGCATTTCTCTAATAAT